GAGCGAATTTAAAACGTTCACATCAATCACATCAATAAACCACAGATAATTGCACAATTATTGACTCTACATACTATACAAACAATATCAAGGGGACTGGTTGAAACAAATCAATTATGGCAGCCAAACCACGTGACAATCCAAATTATTTTATGTCAAAAAAATCAGTGCCTCTAAACCCTCAGAATGGGTATAACAAACCCAGATTGAATTCTTTAATCGACTACTGAGCTGAACATTTGAACTTGCTGAGTGACACATAATACAAAATATAAAAACAAGTTATCTGCCAAACCAGGAGGCTGATCGCCATTTTGAAAATTATTTCTACAAGTCCTCATTTGTCAGTAATAGAACACAAATTTTGAGACTTCTAGCTACAGCCACTTTCTCTAACAACTTTATGAAGATTAAACATGAATGTTATGAATGAGAAAGAGAAGAATTGAAAACAGGACAATAATAGGTGTAGTCTTGTGAATCCCTAAAAATGTGGATGTTTTAGACCAAAAGAAAGTGAACAATTTAGCACTTCTTTGTTATACTAAATCCATCAATGATGTTACACCAACTACCAACTGATCCAACAAACCCGCGTCTTTGAAAACCAAATAGTTTTTTTGCGTTTCAGAACATAACTGTGTAAAGGCATGCACTTTCACCAACACTTGTTTGAATTGTCCTAAGTACATGGATTCATTTCAGTGATCTCTGAACCATGATCTAAAGAGACGCAACAATGTTTCACCGAAAAAGATACTTGTGTTATATGGAAATTGAATAATGGTAAAATATATTGCCTCAGTGGTTATGTTATTTTTAGATGAATAAGTTATATCATTTGAATATAGGATTGGTAGTAAGTATATTTTGTACTTTACTAAAACCCCGACATATCAATGACAACAATAATACATATTTAATGTAAAAACATGATGAATGGTGAAAGTGTGATATGACAACCTACATTTAGTAAAAGTAGAAATTGTGAAGGTATGATATATGTAATGCACCATGTAGAGTGAGGGGGTAGAAACTATAGGTATAATAACAGAATACACATGTCAATCTGACATGTTGGAATTCATACTGCAGCTCACCTTTCATAGTATATGTGATTCTGCCATTCTCTCCGGAATCATCATCCGTGGCAACAACAGTAATCACTGTGGTATTAACATCTTCATCACCAGGTATCTCGGCATCGTATGGTTCACCAATGAAAGTAGGTTCATTATCATTGACATCGATCACCTGTATGTAAACTCTAGTATCATTCCTTAAAGAAGGACTTCCACCATCTTGCGCTGAAACCCTCAATGTGTAGTTCGATTTAATCTCATAATCAATTTCAGCATTTGCAGCAGGAGCGATGATTCCAGA